GAAGTTGACGTCAGCAGCGAAGCCCTGCCTGCCGAATGTCAGAGTTCCATGATATGCAACGATTATTGTGTGCGGATTGGGCCTGTTCTCCTGTATCCATTTGGTGATCCTCTTTAGTCCAAGATGCTGTGCCTAAAACACAGCTGTGATTAACTACGGGCAATTTAAAGGTTTAGCAGCGTTATCAGATTTCATTCACTAAAAAGGGATTAGACGCAAAAATAAGGCGGTGCTTAGGGCTGTGCTCGAAAATGCACACGGAATCAGGGCTACTCATTTCGCGCGTATTCCCTTACTGACAAAAAATTGGTTCAGTTAATCACATCACAGTGCTGATGGGGCCCATGCATCTCACTTTTAATTGTTAATGTGATGAGAGTAAGGAGGACTCGATTTATGCGCATGGAAAATTGTTATTCTTTCGGATAATGATAGGGAGAGAGAAGGAGGTATTTGTTTTCAAGCAAGCTTCACCACTTCTAGTGGAATTGCGCGAAACGCAAAAATATTCATTTTTGACATAAACAATTGAAATATGCAATTTGGGTAGATTGGAAAATGGTATCTGTACGAGATATTTCAGAGCTCTGAGGGAGAGAATCTACAGATTGTGTACCACGGAAATTTAAATGCTGGATGAAATTCAAAAATAAAAACTCTTTGGATTCACAAATATTCTGATGAATAGTGATAAAAACAACCGTTATAATTCAGCAGTGATAGAAAACGATTGCCATTCCCATCAGTGCAGTAGAGGACTGCCGTGATGAAACAGCAGCTAGTTAACGTAAGTGGGCTAGTTATGCAGCGTGAGGGTTCACAGCGAAGTGCTGAAATTGTTTCTGCATCTTCAACAAACAAAAACAAACTTCGCGGAGGAGCGAGTTCCAGTCGTTGAAGTTGTCCGGAAGAAGACAAAGCATCTGCGGATGTCGAAGTGCATCAAGCAAGATTTGTATCAAAAATGCATCTCCGCTCAAATACAGCGTGTCGTTGAAGTACGGAAACAAGGCCATCCTAGTACCCTGTTCAGTTTGAGCTTTGATGTTTGTGTCGGCTTTTAGCGATAGACATAGGCGTGACTCCGGCTCCCGTTCCAGAACATGCTTCATTGTCGTCACCCGACAACTGCCCAGATCCAAATGTATTATTCGGCGATCTAGTCCGGAGTTTGACATTCTTCTTCTTCTGACCGACAGTGTGCTAGTAGTTCGAATTCGTTGAAGCTGGCTGGAAACAGCAGCAATGTTACGTGAGCAAAGGAATCGCAAACTATCATATCCAACGGAGAACCGAGACCGCGTGCTTCCTCACAGATGAAGCATGTCACATTTTTGAAGATATTATTTGAGATTTTTGTTTTGAGCGCTCGTGTCAAAAC